GGCGCACCTGCTCTCCCCAGAATCCCAGCTGGATCTCCTGGACCTGGCTGAGGAGCTCGAGGAGGAGGAAGGACTCACCCCCACACAGGTGAGGCACATAGGTCTCTGGGGTCCATGCAGGACCTAGGGGAATAATGTGAGGGTTTCCTGTAAGGCAATGGGTAGCGAACCACGGCAAACAGGAGGCATTTTGCATGTGATTCCTGGAAAAGAGTCCCTGCAGGGTACACAGGGGACAGGTCCCAGGGCACTCAGAGTAGCATGTGGGTCATGAATCAGGGAGGGGCGCGCAGCACTGGGGCCTAGTCACTTGGTGCCCTCCCTGCCCAGGCCATTGCCAGAGGCCTCCCTCTGAGTCCTCAGGGAAGATGAGGACGTGAATATGGGGTGAGGGAATGGTTGGCGGGGGTGAGGGCCCTTAGTGGGACAGAGATCTGGGTTTTCTACTCTGGGAGGAGTTGCGGTCACTCTCTGTCCCACCCTGCACCCCCACATGCCCACACTGTCCTTCCTTCAGATTGTGGAAAAGCGTCTACGGACTGCGCCAGACAAGGAGGTCCAGAAGGCTTGTCCCCAACACCAACTGACTCCAAAGGACTCAAGTCCATCTGAGAGTGCAGCAGGTCACTGCAACCCAACCCCTACCTGGGGCCATAAGCCAGGGCCCAGCGCTGAATCCTGCCCCCCTGAGACTGACTTTGGACATGCCTCAAGTCCTGTGCAGGCTGAGGCTATTGGGATGGCAACTCAAGCCTCTGTCCTCTCTTTGGGGAGCCTGGAATCCCCATCCCTTCAGGCAGAACAGGCCCCCTGTCCCGGCCTCGCTGCCCCTACTCTGGACAGCAGGGTCTCCCTCATGCTGGGAGAGGCCCCTGCTGGCCAGGGGCCACATGGGGCAGCAGAGGGCTCCAGTGAGGAGGAGGAGGAGGAGCTGCCCAGCCTGGCTTTCCTCCAGGCCTCTCAACACAGCCTTCTGCCCTGGGGCTTCCCCATGAGCCCTGGCTCAGACACTGGCCCCCGCTGCCCGAGGGCCTGGGGGACTTCTCGGCCCCAACCCACTCAAAGAAGGGCCTTCAATCCTGCTGCCCCTGCTACTGCCACTTCCAGGAAGCGTCCTCTGTGTGCTAGCGCAGGACTGGGCACTACTGAGAAGACCCCCTTCCCTGGGGAGCACCCCAGGGTGTCTGGGGGCTCAGCCTTGACTGTGGAGCTGGTGGGCCCTTCCCTGCCCCCAAAGAGAAGGTTCCAGCCTGCTGTAGCCCAGAGGAGTACAGTACAGGATGGGTACAGCATCCAGTAGGACACTGGGGGGCTCCCTCCTGAGCCTGGCTGCCCCTAGCAGCCTTGTCTTCCACCTGATCTTCATCCAGCTAGGCCTTTTGTGTATTGTTTGGCGGGCCCAGTGGTGGGGTTGTGCTGGAGCAGCCCCTTTGTGTCATTGTGTAAATAGTTAATAAATTTCATTTCATTGAAAACACTCTTGGTATCTCCTGTCGCTCATGCTCCTTGGACAATCCTGAGATGAAAACAGGTAAGGGCGTTACAGGGTTTGGGTCCTGTGAGACATTGTGCTCCCTGGAGCAGGGAGGAGTCCTCCCCACCCATTGGGAGATGTGCTCAGTTTCACGAGACCCACCCAATTCTGTGGACATAGGCAAGGCTCACGTTTGCTGCCTTTTCCTTGGAATGCATCAAAAAGCACATCAAAGATTGAGGGCATCACTGTGGGAAAAATCACAGCATGGGAGAGAGCAACACAAAGGAGCTCTCACAGATGTGGGAGACAGACTCTATTTCTTCCCTGAGTTCGTGGGTCACACCCAACAGTGACTGCTCTACAGAGCTCCTTGTTCTAGGACTCACTTCTGGCATAGCTCAGGGGACAATGTGATGCTAGACATCAGTAGAACGAGGGCTGTGCACATGCAACACAAGCACCTTAATGTGTATACAATTTTCCCAATTCTCAACATTCAATTTGATTTGTTTCAGTGTCACACAAAATGGTTCCTGGAGCTTACTCTGGCTCTGCCCAGGAAGCACTCCTTTCTGGGCTCAGGGGACCATATGGAGTGCCAGGAATCAAATCCAGGTTGGCCATGTTCAAAGCAACTGCCCCATCAGCTGTACTACTTCTTCTTCAGTTCCAAAATACCTTTTAAAACAATTTCACTACACTTTAAAATAGAGCTCGTATCCTCAGAAGGTGTCCATAACCTCCTCCACTCAGCCATCACCCTTTCTCTCCCCATTGATCCTTGAGTCTTTAACCCCATATTCCTTTCTTCCTCTAGATTCCCACACTCTGGCCATCTAGCGTTCTGTGGCCTCTTTCACTGAGAACAGCTTTTCCTGGTCCACCTACATTAGCACATGTCCACAGTTCAAACGTTAACTACAGAATCATATTCCATGTGCAGAAGGGCTACATCTGGCAATTCCTTCAATTGTTGATGAAAAATGTGCTTCTTTCTACTCCCTTGTACTAGCTAACAGCAGATACGCAGATTTTAAGTGAGGTTCTCAAAGAATTTTATTGAGAACGCAAGCCTGAGAAAAACCCTCTCACTGCTGGCAGAGAACCCCAAATTTGGGATTGTGGAGTAGAGATTTTATGCACTGTGTAATGCAACCCAAGCACGAAGGTTCTGATAACTGTATTAGGGATGCAACGATTTGTGTTATCCAGAGAACATGTGTCCTCTCTTGGTGTTTTCTTTACACTAAGACAAACAGCAAGGTCCTTAATCTTTCCTTGTCTGTCCTGTCTCCACTTCTGGAACTGAGAATGGTGTCCTGAACCTGCAGTTTTCTTTATCCCTGATAGTTCAGGATCTATCTTGCCTTTGGTGCTCTGTTACTTTCTGCCTATTTGGAGAGAGTTCAAAATCACAGGTAGTTCCTGTCAGGAATGGGGTGTTTTTTTTTGGTATGCAAAATAATTTTTTAAATTTTATTTTCATAATGTTTTCCACAATAATGAATTACATTCAATATTTCAATCCCACCACCATTACACCATCCCAACACTATTATTTTTAAGCTTACCACCACCACCACTGAAGGCTGCCTAACAGATACTTTATTTTGTATAGCTTATTATGAATAGCATGAGAAGTCATATGGCCACAAAAGTGGCTGCACGCCCTGGAATTCTAAAATTTTAAATAATTAGTGTCTGATGAAATCTCTGCAGCTGGCTGCTCAATTCTGAGATTCATTTTTGAGTCTCTGGATCATGGCCATTACTGAGCTTAAATGGCACAAGGAGGAATGCAGTTCATGGGCATGACATAGAGGCGAGGAGATGGGAAGGAGCAGCTGTCCCTGATCACTTGAGGACTAAAGTTAGCAGTCACTGGTCTCACATACCTGGGTTTTCCATTGGGCTCTGGATTCGTCAGGGGCAGGTGGAGGGACAACACCTGCCCCTGTCTGAGGCACCCCGGTGAAATCGGCCTGCTGCAAGATCAGGAGACATCCCTTTAGCAAGCTTCCTGGTTCCGAGATTCATTTCTTGTTGGGAATGTTTTAGGGTAACCTTGAGGCTCCTCCACAGCACCAGTAGCTTCTGGTGTGAAGTGAATCAACATGCCTGATCATGCATTTGGTCCCTAGAAGCAAGAACAGTTCCTGGGCACCACACTAGTTTTGTTGTACTTTCTCTAAAACTGTGATCAGTGTGGTAGAAATGAAGTATGTCCAGACTCTATGGCACAATTGAAACAAGGCAGTCAGACCATTCTACTGCTCCTGCATGCTCCTTTATGGGCACACAAAGTCCAGCATCCAGACTTCAGAGCAGATCAGCTGCCCTGCAGGGGACCCAGATACAGCAGCGGGGTCTGTGCTCATTCCCATAGACTAGCCCATAACCTCCAGGTTGTTCCTGTTGGCGTGCTCCTTGCCACCTGGCCCCACCCCAGCAAGCTCTGGGAGTTTAAACAACACTGACCTGTCTGGAGAAAGCTCTGCTCTCCACTGGGGAGCACTGAGGAAGCCCTGCAGTCACAGTCAGGGAGCTGATGGGTCCGTGGGCTCTTCCTCCTCCATGGAGCAGACCCTAGAGGGGCAGCCGGGCTGTGGAGGTGGATTGGATGGAGGAGACTCTGAGGTGGTGGTGCTGATAAAGGACCTGAAAAGTTGGATCAAGCATCTGGAAAGCCCTGGGGACCTGGCTTTTACCTGTTAGAGCAGGGATGGCAGCTTGCTGAGACCAGCTCTTCATTCCTTTGAAATGGGAGGGGAGTGAGGGTGGAAAAGGGTCTATCTGGGGCTTGGGAGGTATTAACACAGTCTGCTACCATGAAAATACACATCTCAAAATCCCTGGAGAGGGAGCCATGAATTATGTGACCAGGATAAAGATTGAGGGTTGCATTTTCTTGGGATAGGTGGAAAACAAAGGTCTCATTATCAGGCCTTGAGGATCCTGGAGCCCCAGAAAAGTCTCGCTGTTTGTGTCAAGTTCTTGGGATTGGGTTGTGTCAGACTAAAGCTATCCCAGATCACATGCAGGTACACCTGTGGCTGTGACTGGAAAACACTTGCAGGTGTACCTTCAATTGTTGGTGCTTCGGCAGGCTTTGGTGCCCACTTTGCCCAGGTCCTGTGCTCTCTGTATGTGTTGTTTCCAAAAGGGGACACCTGGGATAGGCTCTGGAAATGGCAACAGCCCCTGCAGTAGCCAAAGGGCCATGTTGCACACCCCACAGTTGGAACAGCTCTGGTGAGGGTCCAAACTGCACATCCAGTTGTGGGCTAGGTAAGGGCTCAGGCACTCGATCATGGAAGGGAAAACAAAACCCGCACCAGAGCTAGGTGAGAAGAGTTTCTGCAAATCTGTGTAGGCAGGTTCAAGCTGTGCAGGGGCTAGGGACTTACATGAGTAGATGGTCCACAACTCTGTGCCAGAGGAGAAGTCCTAGCGAACCCTTCATTGATGGGGCTGGATCAAACCCAGGTTCTAGTAGAAACTTGGTATGTGGATGACTCTAGTTATGGCCAGGCAGATGGAGGCCAGTGTTAATCCAGCCTTCTACAGAGGGGATTTGGTGTGGTCCCAAGAGGAGGTAATGCGTGCCTTCTGGCGGCACATGCACTCTTGGCCTCCCTGCGAGTTGCCAGGCTGGGCTCTGCTGAGGGACCTGTGACTCAATGTGCCCAGGAGACACAGGGCCTGGATACATGCCACCCAGTGGCTGCCTGCCAGGCTGCTGCATGCTGGCTCCAGAGCTCTATGGGCGGTAAATCGGGCTTGGTTTGATAGCTCCACCCTGGAGAAGGAAGTAGTGCTATGGGCCTCAAAGGTGTTTCCAAAGATCAGACCCATTGACAGGGACAGCTCAAACAAAAATACACAAATGGGACTTCATAAAATTAAAAAGCTTCTGCCTAGCTAACAACACGGTCTACAACGAAATGACACCAGACTGAATTGGAGGAAATATTCATGTGCAACACATCAGGTAAATATGAATATCCAAGATCTATAAAGTACTCAAGAGGACTCACCCCCCCCCCCATTCACAAACCCTATTTAAAAATTGTGAGAGGAAAGAAATAGACGCAACTTCAAAGTAGACTGATGGCCATGAAATAACACATGAAAAAGGGTTCATTATCACATGTTGCTGGTCTTCACTGGGCTGGAGCAATAGCACAAGAGGTAGAGCGTTTGCCTTGTACATGGCTCACCTGGGTTTGATTCCTCTGTCCCTCTCAGAGAGCCCAGCAAGCTATTGAGAGTATCCCGCCATCTTGGCAGAGCCTGGCACTCTACCGTGGCATATTCGATATGCCAAAAACAGTACTAACAAGTCTCACAATGTACACGTTACTGTTGCCCACTCAAGCAAATTGATGAACACCGGGAGGACAGTTTTACAGTGCTATCACTTACTCTCAGTGAAATCCAAATCAAGATGATAATAAAGTATCATATCACACAAAGGAGAATGACAACTGTCAGGGAAAAAAAAGTGGGCACAATCTGTGGTGTTGTTGGGATGTGGTGGAAAAGTAATCCTTACCTGCTCTTGTTGGGAATGTTGTCTGGCTTAGCTCCTGTGGAAAACAGTTTGGAGGTTTCTCAGAAAAGTAAGAACAGAGCTGCCATATGATCCAGCAATGCTGCATTTTCATATTACCCCCAAGACACAAACACATTCATTCAAACGAACAAATGCACACCATTATTCATTGCAATACTCAACACTATAGCTAGACATAGAACCAACTTAGGTATCCAACATCGGATAAACAATTCATGAGAGTATGATATGCAAACACAGTGCAGATATAACGGAAGGTGAAGTCATACAGTTTGCCACAACCTGAATGGAACTGAGTGAGTCAGAAGGAGGACAAATACCACAGACAAATGTCACTTGTCTGTGGTATATAGAGTAACAGGGTAATGAATGCAAGGTAACAAATGGGATACCTATATGACCCTTGACCCCTGATTACAGAAGTAAGGAATAAAGGGAAGGAAAGAAACTGAAGGGAGGGAGAAGAAAACGAAAACGATGGAGGGTAACTGGGGTAGGGGGCATGCACAGTAGTAGAGGGGAGAGTTTTATCTGTATATTATGTCTGAATAATACAGCTAACAACAGTCAAAAATAAGACTCAAACTACATCAGCCAAATAAAAAAAATGTGCTCGTCCAGGGGTATGTTGCTGCCATGAGTCAACCTGCATCTGTGAGGAGAGCGCATCAGCAGCCAGACCTTCTCAGTGTCTGGATGGGCTACCTGCCTCCACCTCCCTGTACTTGTGGAAGCCTCAGCAGTTACATCCACACCGCAAAGCTGCCACACTGTTAAAAAGCTACTCCAGCCTTACCGAGTCAATAAAAATACTGAATTCTCTGAACAAACTCCATGACCTCTTAGCACCTGTATTGTAAACCATTATGCACAAAAGGAAAAGGAGAGAGAGAATAAGAAGAAAAGTGCCTCCCATAGAGGGAGATTAGGGATGAGGGATGGGGCGTTGGGGGATGGTGGGAAGGAAACAGGGGACACTGGTGGTGGCAAATGTACACTGGTAGAGAGTAGTCATGTGCTGGATCATGATATGACTAAAACCCAACTATGAAGAGCTTTGTATTGGTCCATCTCATGGACATTCAATTAAAAAAATTTTAAAAAGTAATGTGGAGTTCATGCTAATTCAATCAGCTTAATCAATGGCTGAATAAATAGCAGTACTACTACATTTAATATAATGGTAATAACAAAATATACCTGTCAAGGAGACAGGCTGGGGGGTGGGAGGAAGCTTTGGGAAACTGGTGGAGAGAGGTTAACACAAGGGGTGAGATTGTATTGGAACATTGTATACCTCAAAGTCAGCTATGAATAACTATGTAAGTAACAACTCCTTAATGCTTAACAAACTTTTTCTACATTTAAAAAGGAAAGAATAACTGTAACACTGAGAGGATCAAAGAACAAATATGATTTCATCATCATGGGGAATGAGCAGCTACCGCAAAATATCACCCATAAGGTAGGGCCAGAAGGGTCCATAATTCTCTCACCAGTCAGTGGTTCATCATCTGAGGTTGCCTGAGGACCACATACCTGTTTTTCTGAAGGGGAGGAGGGAGAGGCACATGGAGTTGATGGAGCCCCGTGAGTGGAGCCATAGGTGTCAGCTGACCTGACTGGAGAGGTAGAGCTTCATCCCCCACCCCTAGTAAACTCCACAGAGAAAGGGTAGGTTTGTGCTAACTATCAAGACTGGACATTGTACACAGCCCCTTGGCTCTGGACACTTGGCTGTGACAGGTGTGTTCTTTCCCCCACTGCCCTCCCCTCTTCCCTGGGGATTCAGAGTCTGAGGTCAGAGGGAAACCCAGATGCTGTCCTCCGACACCATAGAGAGGGGATGGGATGGGGAGAACTGTGAACTCTGTGCTCAGGTTTGCCCTCCCTGCCCAGGGCTGTGGGTGGCTAAGGGAAGCTGTCTCTGGCCTGCCTTTCCCCTCCTCCAAAAAGGACCCCAAAGAAACTCAGAAGTAAGGTCACAGCATCACCTGCTGGTATTGGAAGAAGAGGCGATTGAGAAATCACAAGCTCGCAGGCTTCAAGAGAATGAACCTGTGAGGAAGCATTCACATTCTTCTCAGTGCATGTGGATCGTTGTCCAGTTCAAATAAATCATAGACCTCTACAAAAGTATCAATAATCATATAAATATTTAAATGAAATTAAGCATCTTTTCCCACTACAAAGTGATGAAGGAAAAAAAATCAACCCAAAGCAAACAGTAAGAGTCACACTATACAGATGCAGAACAAGATTCTTCTGAAAATCTCTGAAAAATGAGTAAATAAATAAGATATATGAATATTAACAAGAGACACAGTAAAAAAAACTAGGGGATGAGGCAAAGAAAGTGATGGGAATGAGGGAAGATCAAAGAAATACAGGCCTACCTTTCAAAAAAGAAAAGAACAAGTTAGAAAGTCTCAAATAATCAATTTGAGCTCACATGTGATGACTATGGAGATGGATAGATCAAAAAATTAGCAGAAGGAAAAGATAAAAACGTGATCATAAATAAACAAAATTTTAAATGACATAGGAGCCCATATTATTTGAATCTCCTTCCTACAGAGCCTGGTGGATGTGATGGCAGAAAAAAATGATTATCTCATGCATGCTTCTTTTTCTAGAAACTCATAAATGACAAAGTAAGGGCCTTTGATTGTAGATTTCTGAGATATTCTCTCAGACGGGGACCTCCTGTTTACCACATGGCAACCGGCTGGTCATCACAGTGTGCAGGAAGCCCAGGGGTTATGGATGATCTCTGGTGGCCACGAGGCCGTGGAAGGCCAGTGGCCATGGCAGGCCAGCCTGCAGTACCAGAGCATTCCTCCCTGTGGAGCTGTCCTCATTCATTTCCACTGGGTGTTCTCTACTGCCCACTGCTTTACAAAGTGAGTTGTTTCTCAGGTCCTAGCAGCCGGGCTGGCAGGGGGAGAGGGTTAAAAGATTAGAGCCCCTGCGTCCTCAAGGCTGTGTGCTGGGACAATCTGTGTCCTTCTAGTCCAAGTTTTTTTGCCTGTGACCTGTCATCTCCTGTATTGTCCTCTCTCCTCACCTGATTTTGCTCATCTTCTATCCTCATCCCTGTGCCTTTCCTCGACACAGGTCTGCCCCCTGAGATGGCAGTGTTCATCCTGCCTCCCAGGAGCAATGTCATCTGGCTCTGTGTCACCTCACACCACGGCTTCTCTCAATGTCCCTGCAATCCTGGTTGTCAGAGGGAGGCTGGAACCTGAGATGCAGTGGCAGATGCTGGTGTTCTGTACGTCTCTGGCCTGGGGTCTCTGCTCACCACATGTCTATTGGTCAGCTGCATGGACACTAGATATGGAGTCCCTGACCTTGAAGAAGAACAGAGCTGCTCTCTGTCCTGGGTCCGGTTGGGTGTTCCCAGTGGTTTGGGAGGGGCAGTAACCTGGAGTTGGATCTTTGGTACATACAGAGGACCAGAAGCATCTGCTTTGTGCTGTGTCCCACTGGAGCCCCACTGTGGATTAGGTTGGCTTGACCCACCTCACTGTGTCTCCATTTAGTCAGAGCAGAAGTTCCCCCTATGGGTGAGAAGGACTGACACCATTGGAGTGGAGAACTCAGATGGGCAGGCTCCAGTGGGCAGGGATCAGTTTGTGGATGCGAGAGTTTGGTTACCGGCTGTGTGGGGAGGAATTTCCAGGTGAGTGAGTGGGAAGGTGGAATGTTTCGTCCCTCATGGTCAGAACACAGGACATCCTGCACGCATGGTCTCCTTTGACCAATGATTTTGTGCAGTTTCAGAACAGGTGAGTACCAAGAAGGAGTGAGAGAAAGGAGTGGTGCGAGGGCAGTTTGGTCATAAGTGGGGGGTCAAGAGCCAAGATGGAGCCAGGGCGCTCTGCATGTGCCCAAGGTAGGTCAGGATTGTCCAGCCCCATGGGACCTGCAGCCCTCCATGATCCTTTCCAATAGTGGGTGTGTGCTGAGATGTGATGAAAACCGCCCTGATTGCTAGGGAGTAGGTCTGACAGAAAGGGAGGGTTCTGTGCGGTGGTGCAGACAAGGCAGTGCTGGGGGTCAGATGATGGTGAAGAGGCACAAGCTGCCATATGCAGAAGATGATGACTGTCACCTTCCATTCTGCAGGAAGTCTCAGGCCCCTGAGGATTACTGGGTGTGTTGGGGAAGTACCCAGCTCTACCAGGACACACAATAGGCCAGGAGGGTGGCTGTGAGCTGCCTTATCATCCATCCAGACTTTTAAAGGCTCCACCATTTTGCAGCGGTGTTACAATTGCAAGGTTCCATCCCAATGGAAAACCAGCAGGACTGTACTACTATACAAGAAAGGAGACATCTACGACATTGGCAACTATCGCCCAATCTGCCTATTGTCTGTCATCTACAAGCTATTCACTCGAGTCATCCTGAATAGGATTAGCAGAACACTAGATGAAGGACAACCATGTGAACAAGCTGGATTCCGAAGAGGATTCAGTACCATCGACCATATCCACACAATAACCAAGCTCATTGAGGTATCTCGGGAGTTCAAGATGCCGCTCTGTCTAACGTTCATTGATTTAAAGAAGGCTTTTGATTCTGTTGAGACGGAAGCGGTCATGGAAGCCCTAGTCAATCAGGGCGTACAAACTCAATACATCAGGATCCTTCGTGAGCTCTATTGCGGATTCACTACCAAGATCTCACCATTCTACAAAGAAGTAATCATCCATATCAAGAGAGGGGTTCGGCAGGGTGATACCATTTCACCAAAACTCTTCAGTGCCACCCTCGAGAACATCATGCGACGACTGGAATGGGAAAACATGGGAGTGAAGATAGATGGTCGGCAACTACACCACCTCCGCTTTGCTGATGACATCGTTCTAATAACACCAAACATCAACCAAGCGGCACAAATGCTGAACGACTTTGACCGTGAATGTGGAAAGGTCGGACTACAGCTGAATCTTACGAAGACAATGTTTATGAGAAACAGCCTTGTTCCTGACGCTCCATTCGCTCTCAACGGAACCACCATCTCCGAATGCAACAGTTATATATACCTAGGTCGAGAAATCAACATGATGAATGACCTGGCACCTGAGTTGCCCAGGAGGAAGAGAGCGGCTTGGAATGCCTTCAAGAGCATTGAAGAAATAACTAAAAGGACAAAGAACCTCCAGCTACGAACACATCTCTTTGATTCCACTATTCTTCCTGCATTAACATATGCCTCAGAGACCTGGACCCTACGAAAAAAGGATGAGAACACTATTCAGGTCTCTCAAAGAGGAATTGAAAGAACTATGCTTGGAATATCACGATTCACTCAAATGAGAGATAGAATCCGGAGTTCTGATCTTCGTCAACGCTCAAGAATCAGGGACGCTGTCTCATTTGCCAAGACATCAAAAATCAGATGGGCTGGACACGTAATGAGGTTTACAGACAACCGCTGGACTAGAGCCATTACTGATTGGATTCCACGAGACATCAAAAGATCATGTGGACGCCCACCTATAAGAGGGTCAGACTTCTTCGTCAAGACCCTAAATGATCGGTTTGAGGCTCTACATGTTCCTAAAATGAACAGATACCATTGGGCTACGCTAGCACGCAACCGGGATGAATGGAGACGTTACTGGCACCCGCTCGAATAAATCGATGAATAATGGGGATTAAGTGATTAAGTGATTAAGTGATTAAGTTACAATTGCACCAACCTGTGAACTTCAGCTCCTATATCATCCCTGTCTGACTTCCAACCCCTGGCATGGAACTGCTTCTTGGCACATCTTGTTTGATAAATGCCTGGGGAAAGCTCTCTGAGGTCAGTGAGTGGTTATGTTGTGGGTGTGTATGGGAGACAGGGACTAGGATTCTAGCTCATCAAAATCTCTAGTTAGCGTGGAGGCCTATGGACCTTGCGCCTCTGTGCCTTATTTCCTGAAAACTGGACTTATCCTGTTCCTCTTGTGAAAAATGTGTCCTTCTGAAAGCTTCAAGTTACTCAGGTCGAAGACACTGAAATTCTGGGTCCTTTGATTTTGGGTGTCAGGAATCTGGAAATCAACGTTTCTCTGTCTTGGGTGTAAAAACTTAACTAATAAGTGAATTGATGTAGGGTTTCTCAAAAATGCTGTTTAGGTGGCCTGAGAACTCCTCTCAGTGATGTATGGCCCACCTTCTCAGTTTGAGGATGCAGTGTTGTTAGGTTCTGCAGTGACAGGGTTAACCAGGCCATCTCAGTGATGCTGGGGAAACCTCTAGGGCACATCTGGTTGTGCTCAAGGGCCTGTAGGGCTTTATCTTGATGCTCAAGGAACATGTCATGCCAGAGATATAACTAGCAACGATTTTGGGAGAAGCATGTATTTCACACTTCTGTTCTCTTCTAGCCCCTTGGTTCGAATATTTCAATTTGATGTAGATCAGACGTGACTTTGTCAACTCAATTTGTCTGAGTGTTCCTCTTTCTACTGTGAAATACCTTAATTTTTCCATGGCCATAGAAGGAACATGTAAAAGTAAGAAAAAAGCTCTTGGAGAACCTTGGGGAAGAATGATCACGACCTAAAATCATCTCAGTTCCATCACCTAAGTTTTGTTCTTCTCCTTACCTGTGTCTCCTATCTGCATCTTGGATTTGTCAGGTGAATGGAGTAATAGGGTGAATACAGGGCAAAACTTTGTGGAGGTTTTCAGTAAAATGAGGAGAAGTATAAAAATTTGTATAAACATGAACTTCTTCAGAGAAGTGTGTTTATCCTTTAGTGAAATATTGATGCATAATGATTATGGAAAAGAACATATTTATTTGCCTTTTAAATTTTTTATATTTATAAAGTTGTTCACAATAATTTATTATATTAAATATTTCAACACCAATCCCACCATCATTTACCTTCCCACCACCATTATTTTGAATTATATCTTTAACTTTATATTTTTATATCTTTATATCTTTATGGGCTGGAGCGATAGCACAGCGGGTAGGGCGTTTGCCTTGGACGCAGCCAATGTGGCCGACCTGAGTTCGATTCCTCTGCCCCTCTCGGAGAGCCCGGCAAGCTACCGAGAGTATCTTGCCCACATGGCAAAGCCTGGCAAACTTCCTGTGACGTATTCGATATGCCAAACACAGTAACAAGTTTCACAATGAAGGCGTTACTGGGCCCGCTCGAGCAAATCGATGAACAACCGGAGGACCGTGGACCGTGATATCTTTATATTTATCTTTCTTTTTTTCTGTCTGTCTGTCTTTTTCTCTTTCGGTCTCACCCAGCAATGCTCAGGGGGTTGCTACTGGCTCTGCACTCAGGAATTATTTCTTGGGATGCTTGGGGGACCATATGGGATTCTGGGAATCGAACGTGGGTCGGCCGCGTGCAAGACAAACGCCTTACCTGCTGTCCTATTACTCCAGCTCCCCAACTGCCTTTATTTCTAATGTCATTATTTGGTACAGTGCTTCTCTTCAAAGGTGCTACATGCATTTCAGACAGACCATATCTTACGGAAATGGGGTACAAAAGCATTCCAGATTCTTGCCTGAATCAGTGGCAGGAACACTTCCTTCCTCATAACCAGCCCCCAACTATACATGCACATGCACACACACACACACACAAACACACACACATGCTCACAGACACACTCATACTCTCACTCAGTCATACAAGCTTATACTGCGTTTGTCTTGAGGTCCAGGACCATGCCACAGACTTATCATTAGTCAACCTATAGAATTTCAGACAATCAGCTTCTGACTTTTATGGGCTTAGCTGTGACCAGGTGGCCTCACCTCCAGTGCTCCCATGCCAGCCCGCCATCACAAACATCCTTCTGCCCATTACTTCCTCTCCCCTTCTCCTTTCTCTCTAGAAGCTTCTTTGTTTTCACTGGGTCTGCAAGTTAGAGTTGTCATTTCTTCGTGATTGTTTTCCTTAGTAAATCATCTTCTACATTTGAGCAAAATCTGTTAATTGTCTTTGGATAACTAATTAGTAGTGGTACTTTAGAATCATATGGAATTTCCGTATTAATTTTTTAAGGACTGCATATCGTTATCCCTAGCAACTACACTAATTTCATTCCCATTACCAGAGCCCTTTTCTCCACATCCTTGCCAACAATCATTTCTTCTTGAACCATTTTCCCAACTATGAGCCATTTCCCTAGTTATAAGTAATTTTGAAGTTTTTAATGTGTCTGTATGACATCTTTGAGGAAGTGTCTGTTTATGACTTTTGAATAATTTTTATTGTAATTTTTTCTGTTTTTTGGTTATATGTGTTAATATATTCTGGGTATTAATCCTTCCTTAGGCATGATGATCAAACAGCTTTTGCCTATTGCTCAGTTGCTTTTATTTGTTTGTTTGTTTATTTGTTTCCATTGTAGTTTCCTTTTCTTTGTAAATGCGTTTTAGTTTTATGTTGTCCCATTCTATTGGATAACATTGGGTATCCTTGCTCCTCCTGCAGAGAGCTTAGGTTTTATGAGCTGCTCTCACAACAGTGCCCCTGAGGCATACCCAATTCCATCAAGCACCAATAATCCTATATTACTTTCTCTTTCCTTCATGCCATTTGCAAGAATTATTTAGCAATGTCCATTTTGTATAGACACAGAAAGACACTTGATGGTTATGCTTTGTAACATGAAAGTTAATTGGCTCCAAAATAATATTTA